GCCTTTGTTCGGCAACAGCTGTCCGGCCGAAGAAATGCTTTTCTCCATCGTCAGTCTGCTTATTGCTTCTTTCTGCTTATTCTTTTCTCTTTCTGCTCGCCACCGCGCCTAAGTTTGAATTAAATTATCGATTCCCGGTCTTCTTTTATCGATTCGTGCATGGGAAAAGATTAAGAATCACGATTAAGAAGACGAAAATTCTGTCAATATTTTCTTCTACAATTATTTGCGAATTTTCAGCAATTAAAGCTTTATTTTAAAGCGCAATTTTTTTTATTTTTATAATAAATGACTAATTCAGAAATAATAAAAACTAAATCGAACGATGTTACCAGAACATTTAGAAAAGAATGCGATTTACTAAATTTTATGGAAACGTGGTTCTTTCAGAAAGAGGGAGGGGAGAGAGAGGGAGAGGGAGAGAGGAAGAGAGAGAGAGAGAGAGAGAGAGAGAGAGAGAGAGAGAGAGAGAGAGAGAGAGAGAGAGAGAGAGAGAGAGAGAAGTTGTCATAAATTCCATTTCCTTCCATGGAATGCCGCGGACCCCCTCCACGTCGTTCCGTTCCGACGGCAATCTTTAAAAGTACATCGAGACATGATTCTCTCTATACCCCCATAATTTCCCCATAAATCATCTCGAAAATTCCCGAAGGAAACGGTTCTGCATCCCGTGTTCTGTGCCCTTAAACATTCGCCGGAAGACGTTGCCTTCGAAATGTTGCCGCGGTTGCGTATTCAGAAGAAAATGCCACGAATGCGCCCAATTACAAAACACCGCGGGCATTCCTCAACAGATCTGTACGCATAGTGGCCCGACACTGCGGCACCGCGCGGCCGCGGCTCTATCTATCCACATCCCTCTTTCTTCTTCGTTTCTCCGATGGGTACGACCGGCGGAGAGTAGTTGGCGCACTATAAAAGGGGGCCCTTCGCTCGGAGCGGGGCCCCGCGGATCGGCGTGCAGCGTTCAGATAAATATGCGGGAGGGGCCGGAATTCCTCACTCGGCTGCATTCCAATCGCTCTTCCTCCTCCGCCATCTCACCACTACCACACGCACACACGCACGCACGCACGCACACACACACACAAAAGCATATCCCCCGTCATCGTTATTTGCAGCCTCCGCCGCACACTACCTCTGTCCCAGCCAACGCAGCAACAGAACAAACCTGGCGATCTCGCGGTATATAATGCCAACAAATATCGATACAATAATATATGACAATAACAATAGCCACGCGTGCCCGTAGCAGCTTCTGACCGACGAGTGTATGTACGATACGCGAGATTAGGTTGGACGAAGTACTCATCTTCGCGTGACTTTTGGAATTCGTTTGCCACATTATTAGTAACAGGGATATTTATATTTCGAAATGTACGTAGTACAATTCATGTATTTTCGATCGTCTGAAGGATGGATGCTTTTCTTTCGATCAAACTCGTAACATGAATGCAGAACTCGCGAGTACGTGCAAATCGTTTCAGAGGAATTGTTACTGTAGATAGTGGATCTACCATCAAAATACATGTACCAGGACCTCTAATACGGAGGCTGACCCTTTTGGCCGAAGACCCCACTCCTTTTGCCGCGCTGGCATTCCTTACCAATATTTCTCGAAGAGGAATTCCTTAATGATACACGAGTGCTGCGTGCTTCGTGCTTGCTGCTTCGTTCTTCGTTCCTCGTTCCCCCTTCTGTTGGTACACGTGCGTGATTTGCGGCCTAGAGCCAGGTCTCGATGGAGAAAGTGTTTATTCGGTTTCCTGTCATACTCGTCACAGGACTTGTCTTTTTCGTCGCTAGTATTTATCAGATACACACGAGACAAATTACGTACTCTCGAGCTACTTTCAGCTCATATACATAACATTATGCAACATTTAGACTATCTGCCTCGTCTTGCAAGGATGGTTGAACACGTTTTGGAGAAACGTTTTTAAATGACGTTGTTCGTGCTATGACACGTACCTAATTATAGTATTTAATTGTATAATATATTAGAGATTATTGTATTTCATATTTCACATTTCATTCATATATAAATTCATAGTCCTTTCTTTAATAACTAGACTGTGAATATTGTTGGATCGCAAGGCTGGATATCGTGTCGAAATAGAAAGTATCATTACCGAAAAGACAGAAACTTAAGATTGAGTGGTATCATTATCTGTAAATTCGAAAAGTATTTCAAAAAATCTACCAAGTATCCAGAAGGAGAGACAACTTTTGCTCGTGGAACGTTCACAGAAAGCAACATATCGTTTGGCTCTGGTAATAGCCGAATAATAACGTAACATATGTCAGTCGAGAGACATTCCAATCGGTTGGTGAAACGTTTCTAACCGGAATTCGTTCGGAACGAAAGAGAAGATTCCCGTGTCGCGTCGCGAGGAACATGTTCAGCGGTGCGTGGCGTAAAAAGTCAGCTAAAGCGGAAGAGATTTCGGGATGTGCCATGCCGAGAGGAGGAAGCGAGAGGTCTTTCGAGGGAGAAAAAGGAATGATAGATACGTAAGGGAGATGCAAGGATCGAGGTAAGAAGAGCTCTGCGCCTCGTGGAGGTGGAGAACGAGCGACGGAGGAAGAGAAGAAGGAGGATGAAGAGGAGAAGGAGGAGGAGGAGGAGGAGGAGGAGGAGGAGGAGGAGGAGGAGGAGGGGGAGGAGGAAGGGAAAAATAAGAGGCTCTTTCCGCGAGGCGAGCGAACCGGCTCGTCGTACTCGATAGCATCTGCGGAGCCTCCGACAATAATAGTGTGGACCGAGAAATATGCGCGCGGGGCCCGAGCCCCGTGAATCCTTCGGCGGTTTTGGGGTGGTGTACGGAGGCAAAAGCTCGCTTGGTGGGGCGAAATTCTCTGCACTGCGTAGTGATGGAATCGATCCAATGCTCGCAATTTCCGAGCAATTCGTGCTTTCCCCGTTCTTTTTTCTGTCCTTCGTTGAAAAATTGTTTTGAAACAGCTGCCAGTGTGTATGTGCGATACTTTCGTACAAATTGACTCCGCGTCCATGTGAATGGAGAAACGTAGTTCTTTGAACGTGAACTTTCTAACGTTGGCGAGCAGATAACGACGTTTAATACATTTCTTACGAAGCTTCTTTGCCAGGAGATTTTTATGAAACCATCTATGCCTACTACCATTTCGTTGTAAATTACACGAGAGAAAGAAGCGAAATGGTTCTCGAACAAATGTGTCTCAGGATTTATTGAATAAACGTGATTCGATGGAACGTAGAATTGTTGGTCAATGTTAGGAATGTATGGTAGGTTATCGATCGCGGCGATGTTAACGGAAAAAATTCGTAAGATGTTTCGAAGGAAGGAAGAAGGGGAATTGGTTCCATCACTACTGGCACGGAACGGGCCTTCTGACGGAGAGGGGACATATACCAAGGTCCACCGGGCCTGTTCTTAGATGATCAGAGACACGGCTGATGGGCCAGTAGTGGCCCCAGAAATTCCAACAAGGACGAGGCATAATGCGCGACTCAAGGTCGGTTCTACTACCGACCAGAGAGTCCGAGATGGGACCACGTTCAGCAGGGTCGTACTGTGACCTCGTCAGGCCTTCCTTCCCCTCCTCTCCTGGCTCTCGGGCCCCTACTCCGTCCCTGCTGTCGTCCCTTACAGGCTGGGCTCCGCCAGCGACAGGATCGTGCGCTTGCCCCGCGGCGCCCTGCATATCAGGGCCCGCATTCCACTACGACATTCCACGTCGTTGGAAAAAAAATGTACGCCCTCCAGTTGTTGGCTCGACGATGACGAACATTACGGTTCGAGATACGACTTTGTCGATGTTTCATTCGGCCATTTGACTATTCCGTCCAGGGTTTGTTGTATCGCGCGTCGACACGAAATTAACGGTTCCTCCTCGTTGATCTTTGTTTGACTTTTCTCCGATGAACGTCTGTGACAAAGAGGTATAGATTGAAGTAGCTTTAAACGGATGGGATTTTTAAGTGAAATTTGTCGGAGATGAGGAGGTGGGCTGAAAGAAATTTGGACACACGATGTCGTGAATATTCATGCGTGCGCAAGCGAACGCAGCACGTGTGTGTTGCATACCTTCTGGTATCAATTAGATTCGCTAGGAACGAATACCGCATGAAATGCATAATATCTGAAGGGAAGTGATGGAATGGACGAAGAGAGAGAGGAAGGTGGTGAACGAAGAAGAGATGTAGGGAATGTTGAGCAGAGAAAAAGAGAGATAGAGGGGGAGGATAGGAAAAGCAGAGTGGGAGTGGGGGGCGCAAGGGCTCGATTGCGACGGTCCTGCCGGGCCTCAGGATGAGGCCCGCCTTTTTACACCGGGTAAGAAAAAGCCGCTTGAGGCCACCGTGGTTGAAGCGAGATAAATGAAAAGACTATGGAAGGAGCAGACGGAAAGTGAGGAGAGGAGAAACGCCTATACGGAGATTGAGAGAGGCAGAATATCCTTCGCGTGTATGTGTGTGCCCGAGCGAGAAAGAGGCAGAGATCGAAGGATTAAACGGAAGACGGGAAAGAGAGAGAAAGAGAGAGAGAGAGAGAGAGAGAGAAATGAAAGAGTAAAAAGGAAGGATGCTGGATAGGATGGAAGGGGGAAGGGTGGTAGGTAAAAGCAGGATGGAAACGAGAAGGGAAGGAGAGAATCGACCGGGTGGTGCAAGAAGCGAAGGAAGAGAAGGCAAAAAAGGAGGAAAAAAGGTGGGATCCCTTAAAAATTGAGACCCACAGAGGTGGGGATCGGAATTTCGGGCCCCGTAAACCGGCCAGTCTCGAGGAGGCCTTCGCGAAGATGAGGTGAAGAGAAGAGGAGATAGACGTCCGACAGGATAGAAGAAGAAGAAGGAGAAAGAGAAGGAGACGACGACGACGAAGAAGAAGAAGAGGAAGAGGAGAAGAACGAGGAGGAAGACGACGAAGAGAAGGAAAGGAAGAAGTACATTGAAGAAGAAGGAAAGAGACAACAACGATCACAACGACGACGACAACGACAACGACAACAACAAGAACGACAACGACAACGACAACGACGACGACGAAGAAGAAGACGAAGAAGAGGAAGAGGAAGAGGAAGAAGAGGAACCGTGCCTAGTCTGCTGTGTACCCGGCATGGACCGTCAGTACACACTTTGCGTACTCGTACCGGCGCACCAGTACCGCACCTACGTAAACAATTATCACCAGCAGGCGCATCATCAGCGGCTGCAACAACGCCAACGCCAGCAATATCCCGAGCAACAGCGTTCCTGCAAACAGCCTTATCAGCAGGAGCAGATTTACGAGAACGTTGTGTCCCAATATCGAATGAGAATGTGTTACCATAACGATTACGAGAACGACGAGCAAATACAGAGGTTCTACTGGGAGCAGTGCTATAGACGCGATGACACCGACGCCACTGCGTACTATTACTGTGAATACGTAAGGATATACTGTTGCAGCAGGATACTCGCACTCGTCGCGTGCCGCGTGCGTTACACGGATTCTCATGGAATCCGTCGAAGTGAAATTCCACGTCCGCCGTTATAACCGGCTACGATGCATCCCGAGACCACTTTGCCATCGACGATCAGTATTTCCTCTCTTGTACTTCTTCCATCGAAATGCATTTCCTTCGGCTGTTGTCTCTCTATCTCCGATCTCATGACGCGGGTCATTGATGGTATCAAATAGAAATTTCGAGTCATTCGCTTCTCTGTGTTCTTTCTTTCGTTCGCATTTACATGTTGATAGAGAGGGAGGAAAAGAGAAAGAAAGAGAGTCGTCTCGAAAACGAACGGTAATTGGAACTATCGGTGCTCGGTTCGAGAACTGTTTTCGAGAGTAGGAAAAGTGCGAAATTCCGTAGAAACGCGATGCGAGAGAGAAACGGAATAAGAAACGTTGCCGTGAATTCCAAATGTTTCTTCTTTCGTTACCGGTCGTGTACGTTCTTCTTTTAGTCTCTCTCTATTTTTACGACGTCGAAACCGTGGAAGAATCTGAGCTGCAGCAGAATCGTGTCCGTAAACTCCTGGCACTACGTAAATTGCGTGTAATGGTATTTCCTTGTTTGAAAATCGAAGGAATGCTGGTGCCGGGTCGTTGCGCGGCTTCTATCGGTTTTCGACGCCTGATCCAACTGAAAGCGTGAAACGACGTGCTATACCCTAATTCAACGTCCACATTCCACCGTGGAATTCTTTCGAATGAATATCATTCAAGCGCTATCCATTTCCAATTTAATTTACCGATTGCTGCCATTAACTACATGAAATAAGTCCAATAATCGAGACTCAAGAAGTACTTGAACGATCGAACAAATGTTTTTAATACGAACGTAGTTAAATTTTGTCCTATTTCTATCAATTTCTTTTTCGCTATTTTGGATTTTAATATTGTTGTTTCCAATTGTGTTACAGGCAAAAAAGGAGATCTACGATGTGAAGCAACAGAGGCTATGTCTGGCCCAGGATGAGTACAATCACCTCAATAACGCTTTAACGACGCTCGGCGCTTCGCGCACAAGTTGTGAGTACACCTTAATATATTAGCGGTATATATTTCCCGAAATTGTTTTATATTTGGGATATCTCTCGCAACATGGCTCAGCGTGGAAAATAATGATTTACTTGGCACTTGCGGCATATTAAGAAAGATGTTTTCAATCAATATTTATTATATATATATATATATATATATATATATATATATATATATATATATTTCTATGGGCAAACAAAAATACATATTTTCTTTATTTATTTAACTTAGAAACAATTTAATTACGTAATATTAACGATAAATATCACATTTATTCGACGCATTTTTTATTTTTCCTATTCCATACGCACAAGCCGAGAGCAAGTAATAATATAACTGTGTTTCTGTGTAAATTTGCTGATGAAGTGTAAAGCCTGTTATTTAGGACCGGTGTCATTATTTTCCACTTTGGGAAAATCGGCTTGTAAACAAGTCATTTGCCAGGGATACCTGATTTGTTATGGTAAGGAACTGCTACCTTTCGAAGCAAATATGGCTATTACATGAACTATGAAAACAGCGAAATTACGAAAATTAAAAAAGTGGTAGCATTTTGAAGTTAAAATATCGATTTTCCATGCGATTTTCGTTTCTTGGGTGGTAAAAAAAAAAAANTATATATATATATATATATATATATATATATATATATATATATATATTTCAATGTACAGTGGTGGTATTAAAAATACTGTTCAGAATTTATACAAAAATTCCATCGTTATTTTTATTATAATGATCGATCCGTCCTGTCTACAGTATGCTCCAGTTCAAGTTCATTGAGTACCAAGTACGATCCGGATCTGTTGAAATCTGATGTCGCACTCGCGAGGAGTCGAGTTTCCCGGTTGAAACGAGAACTCGAACAGATCCGAGCTGAAATGAACTGTACACAGCGAGGGGTGGACACTCTTGCAAGGTATGTTATTGTTTCCCCTCAAATTTAATTCCCTTCAATTTGAACTGTACTCTTAGTTAAGTTATGACTATTTCGAATTTTTGTTTGTCTATGGGGAATTTAAAAAGTATATATAAGATATCCAAAATAGAATATTTTATTGTAATATTTAGCGAATGGGACAGTTTTACACTTGTAACGCTATGAATTTACATAAATATGCGCGATCTAATTGTAACACAGTGAATCTTGTTATTTCTGGATACAGCGTCGAGCAGAAATTGAGCGGACATCATGGTGGTTGCTACAACATCACGGAGGCTCAGGCGATCATGACGGAGCTCCGAAACATTCAGAAGTCGCTGAGCTCGGGCGAGAAGGAGAAAGCTGAGTTGATGCAGTCTCTGGCTCAATTGAAGGACGAGCTGACGAGACTGCAGCTCTGCGAAGGCAGTCCCGAGGCCAGCACGCTTAGCTTACCTCAGGAGAAGCTTAGTACAGCCTCTCAGACCGATCTGTCCGGTGAATTAGTCCCAATTGGCACTCGTCTGGCCGAAATGGCACGGATGAGGCTGCAGTACGACGAAGCGAGAAAAAGGATACAGCACATACAGCAACAATTAGCGGACCTTGAGGAAAAAGTGACACCTGGCCAGACAGAAAGCGACAAGGATAAGTTGCTACTCTTTCAAGAGAAAGAACAGCTGCTGCGAGAGTTGAGAAGCATCACGCCACGTACCAGAACGCAACAGGATATGAAAAAGATCCAGAGTGAGATCCGTCGCCTCGAGCAGGATCTAAACAACGCGCTTGAATTGTCGAACAAGACAATTACAGATCGCGTGCGACTGCACGAGGAGAAGCAACTACTGTTGCAACAGTTGAGGGACGCTTTACGCTCGATGGCGATGCTCGAGGGTCAATTGAAGACTCTTAGCGCGAGCACGCTCTCGGTTAGCAGTAGTTCCAGCCTTGGAAGTCTCAGCACCACTAGCAGCAAAGGTTCGCTCAGCTCTGGACTGAGTTTCACCGATATTTACGGTGGTCCTCAATGTCTCGGACCTGTCAGCTCCCAGCAGGAACGACCAGTTGACATGGTCGATTTGCATAGACGGGTAGAAAGATTGCTCAGAGGTTCGGAACAAAATAATCTCGCCAGTACACCATCTCCGGGTCGATCGCAGCCGAGCTTATCACCAAGATCGAGTTTGTCCAGCGTCAGTCCACCGGTTTCACCATTGTACGAAAATGCTCCGATGGGCCCACCACCAGCTTACGAACACGTAGAGATGCAGAGACGACAACATCAGAGAGCTACGACCTCCTCTAATGTTCACTTAGACGGAAGTCAATTAGAGGATCGTTTGGCGGAACTTAGGCTTACTCAACAACAAACGTCGTCTCACGAACAATTCTGCGTTGGTCCTCAGGATCGTCTTAAATTAGTCGGTGGTCCACATCCACCCGTCGAATTACAGTCTGGTAATATGTCTCAAGGAAGCGGCCTTGGCAGGCCTGTATGTGTTATACAGCATCAAGTGCCTTCGCAAGAACCACCGCCTCTTTCGCCGATAAGCGAAACACCTCCTCCTACTGGTATTCGTTCAAGAGCCAGCAGTTCTGGCACGAATACCAGATCCGTCTCTGCTGCTGTTTCCGACGAAAGTGTCGCGGGTGATTCAGGAGTATTCGAAGCTTCTAACCGAAGGAAATTTGCTGGAGCGATTGGCGATGTCAATTCGTTGTCGCTTGGCGAGATGAGCTTGGAGACGGCACAGGTGCAAATTAAGCTTAGGTTTGTTTCATATTTCTATAATTATGTAGTTAGTTTGGATAATCAGAGCCATATGAGATACGTAGACGATGAGTCGGAAAATGTTTGGCTCGTGATTTTATCTGTGAGTGAAGTGATAATCTAGTGGTAGTGATTTTGACTATAAAATCATGTAGCTATGTATCGTCATAAAAGTGATAAAATAATGTCATTTGAATTGCGTATGATGGAGGATACTAAGCATATTATTGTAGATATTGGAAAAGCCCAATTGAAGTTAATTTATCTCATATGGTTTCTTCTGAAAACAATGATCAATTATATTTCTAAGCGCTTAAATGAGCAATTTATTTGTTTAGATATTCTGTAAGTGATGGTTTGCTCCATGTTGGAATTGAACGTGCCAGAAATTTGGCTGCTCTTTTTATACCTAACAATGCGCAAGTGTGAGTATTTAATTTTTTACTATTATTCAATTTTAATGCATGTGAATGTCAGAAGAAAAAAATAACTTTAATATACATTTATAAATGTTAAAATGTAAAAGTAGTGAAAAATTGCGTTATTTATTATTATAGAAACCTAGCCAATGAAAAATTTAGATAAGATATTAATATATACAATATTCAAAGTCACGCTGACTTCAGTCTGTTAGGATGAAAATTAAAAATGATAAAAAGTAACAGTGGTTTTTTCTTCATTTGCGTTTAGGTATATAAAAGCTGCATTGCTTCCGATGCAACCGCCCGTTAATCACATGTGTTGTACAAAACCTGTTGTGGATCTGCGCAAACCAACCTTCGGCGAAACATTCCCGATTGCAGTGCCACTCAACAAACTGTACACGAAGACATTGCAAGTTAACGTTTGGTGTACGGGCAGTGAGTCTGAGGAGTGCTTGGTACGTGTGTCTTCCGGCTCTTTCTTGTTTCTTTCTTTTGAATATCAAGATGGCAATAAAATATTGAAATCATTGAATGCTTGTCTAACATGCAATAAAGTTCTTGTTAGTTACTAATTTATTAACTATTCAATAGCTTTTATAATAACTGTGATTGCAGTACAGTGAACAGGATAAAATCAAGTTAACAAATAGTTTATACGTTTTTACAACTGAACTTCATAATCTCTATTTTGTTTGTATTAGTTCTTTTTTTTTTGCTTATGATTAATAAATCTAGAATATCTATTGCACAGTCACCACTTGTTTAAATGGTATCTTAACTTCATCTTTTTCATTTTAGGGATCCGCCCAAGTGTCCCTTGCAGACTTTAGTCCAGAATCGCCAAGCGTAAAATGGTACAACATACTTTCCTTTCGCTTCATGCAACCATCCGACAGCCCAAGTACTAGTACCAGCAATAGCAATAGCATCTCCATCAGTGTAACGAGGCAGGCCAAACACGACAAACAAGAATCAGACTTATCAATGTATCGTGTTGGACAGAATACAAAAGAAGAAAGCAGCGACGAGAGTACAATTATCAGTTCTCAAACGTCGACTTTGACAAGAAATCAGGGATGCGATGAATTGCAAACGGCAATCTCGTTAAGGCTGGAGGAGCTAGCTAATTGCTTGGGAAGTCCGGAAGAAGAGGATGAGAATGGTGGAAGTGAAAGCGGAAGTGAAGACAGTGACGAAGAAGGAATTATCGTGGAATTTACGGTGGAAGATAATGTTCTAGAAGACGTATTAGAACATGAGGTAAATACTGGCTTTGAAGTATCTTTTACAGTTAAATAATTTTTCTGTTCTCTGTTATTTAAATACATAATTTTCTTAACCTCGACTTAGCTTCATGCTTTTTAAATTTCTGAATTTTTTAAATAAATAATTACAGGAGGATGAAGAATTAAACGAAGAAGCAAGGCAGACTCAGGACAAGGAAACCAATACTGAATGCGTCTTCATTCCAGAACAAGGAAAACAGAGAAAACTTTCAGCGGCCGGTGTTGTTTCTAGCGCTATGCACGACGACAAAAATTCTATAGTAATCAAAAGAAGTCAAACGTTTTCACCCAGTGCTGCAGTCAGTAAAAATCACTATATTTGTCGGGTAAGCATAATTTTCCTTTTCAGGATATTATCTGGATTTTTTTTTTTAATTTTACCAAGCAGTGTGATATTTCATGTTACAGTTGAATCGAAGTGATAGTGATAGTAGTATGCCACTTTATCGCAGAGGCGGTCCTTTCCAACGAAATTCAGTTGAAAGACGTTCCCTACGATGGCGAAGACCTTTGTCTGCTCTCAGTTGTAAAACTACTTCGAAAAAATCCACTAATTTGCCACCTACCGCTAGAACCTCGTTAGATCTTGAATTAGATCTTCAAGCTCAGCACGCTAGACTCAATAACCTCCAAGACGAGTTGAGTAGATTGCGAGAATTAAAGCAAAGGTTAGAACAAGCGCGAGAGAAGGGAGACATAGATTTTGCAACATGGTTGTTAGAGGACCACAAGTTCCAGAACCTAATGGCACAAGCTGAAAGTGGGAAAAACGGCAAAAGTGCTGAGGATAAAAGAGTAGAGAAAATGCTGAAGAAAACTTCGAAAGAAATCTACAAATTACGGAAAACAAAAGCTGGGAAAGGGAAACCTGATATTATTTCATTCAAGTACGTATATTGCTGTTTAATACATTTGAAACGTGCATTTCAAATTATTGAAAATAAAATCGATACATATCAGTTAATTTATTATTCGATAAGAAGATGAGCGTATATCTATAAGTACATCTTAATTCTTTTCTTTTAGAGAAAAAATGGCTTTCTTCACACGCGTTAATCTCAATGTTCCTGTACTTCCACCTGAAGATTCACTGTGTGAAAACCCATCGTCACCATCACCATCATTTATTCAGCACAGGAGACATGCCTCGGAACCAGTTACCACAGAGTATATGGTTAATAAGCTTGGTGCTCAAGGTGTTTTAAATTTGACTTCGCGGTCAAATAGTGTTCCTAGCGGGAATGCGTCTATGGTGAAGACTGACGGTGCCGCGACCAATAACGCGACTACAGTCACAAACGTGATCGAGGACGTTCCGGCGAACAGTACAAATAAACCTGTGAACGCGAAAGGCCGATCTACTGAGGCAAATGTGCATTGTCAAGAAAACGGTCAAGGTGGCGAGAAATCAACCGAAGAAAATGATGGTGAAGAGCCAAGGAGGTACGAATACGTAGTCGACAGAGTTCTCGGTGTCGAAGTGTAACGTTTACACATCCAATTACCTTTGCCGATAGACAAGTCGTTTGAATCTTGGGTACGAATTAATGCGTAACACAGTCCGGTGATTTGCGGAAGATTGAAAGAAAGAATAAGAGTATATTGTTTCCTCATTTTTTCGAATTCCAGGTGCCATGCACGATGATTAAAGAAAAACTAGACGGAGAATGTTTATTCAAGTATATTTGAACGGCACACAGATAGTGATGCTAGTATAACTAGTACAACAAATTGATGAACATGTTGCTGGTATTTGTTATTGTTTTCTTTCTTTTTTTTTTTTAATTATTGATTATCGATGCGACAACACAATACGTTAAGAGAGTCATTACCTTAAGGAAGACTTTCGAAGCAATAGAGAAAAATGCGTGAAACAAGCGCTCTGTACATACAAGAATCATAAATTATTTAAATGAGATTTTATGTGAGGATTATTTAATTTCGATTGAATTCCATCGGGTTCCTCCTTTGCATCCGGGTATATTGCTAGAATAACATCGCTTTGCTCGCTTTTTCTTGCATATTTCCTCGTCAGAGCATACACGGCCCCACCGAGCAGCTGGACTGCGATATTGAACATATAATAAACGAAGAAAAAAAAAAAAAAGTAAAGGGAAAGAGGAAGAAGTTATCGCCCTGGTTGGCTGAACTCTGCCTCAATTCCATTACTGCCATTTCGTAACGTGTTCGCGTTATTATGCGTTTAACGAGGAGTTGAGTTTCCGTTTTAATTAGATAATTCTCAATCATCTCAAAAAATGTTACAAGGTGTATTAACATCGTAAAACTATTTGTACTCTTGATAAAAAAAAAGATATAATGAGATCGTAAAATTAACCGGGACAAAAATTAGAAAAAATATTAATTATCATGAAATTAAAAAAAAAAAACGACAGTGTTAATACTATGTACTTCTAACAGATTCTAATTGATCAGCTAGACCAATTAGATCAATTATTACGTATACTTATGACCTCATTATATGACATGATACATATTGATACAAACGTCTACATCTATATGTATGTAATATTTGTATTAATCTTTGGACTACGGATGTTCATGCAGCGTCGCGGCGTATGATTATTTTGATCCACCGTTCGTATAAATTTTCAAACATTTTTAGTGCAAAATTTGCTGTTATCTTTTAGCTATTTTAAAAACATTATTCGTGATATTATTTGAATGTATAATTTTTTATATTTCCATCAGACGATTACAACAACAGCCGGGTCAAAATAATCTGATATTCTTTGAGCGAATCCAAACAACGAGCCATTAATATTTTAACAATTGTAGGAATAAATAGATGTACGTATTGTTAGTAATACGAGCAAAGCGATTGATCCAATACATTTTATTTTTTAATATAGCATGTACGATTTTCTTTCTTTAAAGATGTTATTTCGTCGAAGCGGAATTTATGATATAAATAATAATGCTTGTTTTTAAAAAATTAATTCAAAAGCACCGAGAGATTACGAAAATAATGTTACAAAACACGAGAATTAAACATTAATTTTTCTGTACGATTGTTTTTTGCGTGTATATTGAGGAACCTGGTAGAGATTGAATTCTCTTCTGGAGATTAATGAAAATCTTCCAGACAACAATTATGTAAATAACTCTGTATATTTGCATCGACAATCATGTTTATGCATCTATAAAATATAAATATACGTAGATACGAATTATATACTTATATCCATGTATTTACGAGTGCGTGTGTGTGGGCATATATGTTGCAACATGCGTTGTGCATGTGCATGTATGTATGTATCTATAATGCATATAGGACAGAGAAAAATTCGATTAATTTGTGTATGGTCCGTGGATGCATATTTTTATAGTAAAATATGTGTATACAATTCGTATAATAGCTTTTGTTACTTCTTTGACAATACAGAGGAAGAAACGGAAGCTTCTTGTGTAGAATTACGCTATCAAAGGACCTATTACATCTGTATGTATTTAATTAATATGTTGTATTAACGTATTATATACCAACGTGACGTTTTGTCTTACTCTGTTGAATCAAGTATAACAATGATGTCAATGACAAATTCTAAACAATATTGGGCGATGATGGTCACGAAGTGCGATTATGATAAACGGTAGTAAAATAAAAAAAAAAAAACAACGATAATGCTGTTAATAACGGTATCAATGATAATTGCGGCAATGAGTATAATGAAATATGAATCATGGTACTGATATCGATAAGAATAGTAGTAACGGTAATAATAAGTTCGTAATGAAATATACACATACATAAACACGTACATCCTTCGAGAAACAACTACATTATGACTTGTAAGTAATGATAATGATTTAAATGGTAGTGATTCATATGATAACGATTAAAAGAAAAAATACAGTATATATATTCTTGCCATATTATTTTTTGTATCGTAAATTTTTGTTTCTCAGACATCTAATGATTAATATACTTCTTTTTAACTCCTGAACCGTTTCATGTGTGTGACTAACTACGCAGTGGTGCAATAAAATCATTCTAACAAAACAGTCCGAGTAATATGAAGACTCGACTATATTTTCAAATTTGAAATCTAACATCTGACGTACATTTACAATATCCGAAATCAAATTCCTTTCTTGTTTTCAAAAGTAAAAACATTCGTTTGAAACTGACTTTGCAAAGATGCAAAAAGCGAGTCGATTATTATCTGTTTCGCAAATTGAACGAAAGTAGAAACATGGAAATATTTTATTCACCATTATACATGAAAGATATTACATAAATAATAAAAGAAAAATTAACATGAATTTTTTATAATTGTAATTAAATCTCGCAGATCTTGTTTTAATATATACGTTTCCAAAATAGAAGTAATTGGTCACGATATTCGCGATTCGTGTTAGAATTATCGATTCATGATTGCACGCAGAAATTTTCTAGATTGACAAGTTAATAATATTAGTAACGTTCGTTAAATAATATTTAATATAGCGTAGAAGCGGAGAATGAAATGTTCTTGCGCATGTTTGAAAAATTGCGCCGGCGCAGTGCATGGGTTTCCTCGAGTTCACCAGGATTGGCCGAACGGTTTAGGGTTTAGTAGACCTGTGCACAGCGTCTCGCTTTTTTTAGTACAGTGTGGAGTGCATCCGGCGCGATGTTATGTGGCGTTTTGTGTACTGCATTGTCAGTTTCCTTCGGTGCACTCGTACAAATTCTAATATTCCTTCTGCAAAATTCGTACATCTCGAAAGTACAAGCTTCCCTTCCACCGGGAGCTGGTTAGTTTTTGTCTCACTACATTTCTATAGATTGAAAGGCCGTTCGAATCCAAGGTGTTGTGGCGTTCGACCGATTGATGTAATATAGGATCTACACGATAAGATTACGGCTGGCATATATTACAAAAAATTTAAATCAACAAAATTACTTTTACTTTCGTTTCGTTGCATTGATCGTACAATTAATTTACTCTAGTAAAACATTCCTCCAGTTTTTTTGTTCAATTTTATTCGTTCATTTCTGCATTTCTTCTTACGTGCTTATCTCACTTGGTACACATGTAAATTCTTGAGTAGTCGAACAAAAAATTGCAGATATTATACCACGCGAGAAATTGGTCAAATTCACGTGCCATTTTTCATTCACATTTATTTCAATCGTGTCGTATATCGTTTCCCCATTGGCGCGCATCTTTTGAATGCAATTCGTCGGTTTACGTCGTGAAGAAAGTTTTGCAGCTCGCACGTCACAGAGTCCAAGCTTTCGTGACCACCGTATATCATTGCAATGCACGTATGTCGACCAACTCGAAATCGTGTCACCGAAGAAACTAGGTGACAGAATCTGGAAGAGACGTTTTAAGTAATTCAGCGGTCAGCTGCAAGTGTTCCTCGGCTAATCGATATTATTATTATCGGCAGCATGCTTCCCGGTGTACGTGCATACATACCACACGCATGTGTAGCGTCAAGTTCTGTGCAAGTAGGTACTGTACAATTCGCTGACACACGGAGCATTTAACACTGGTTTGAGTCACGCTTCCTCCGAGCATTCCCACGCAACCAGAACTATCTGTTGGATCCGAATAATATTGAACTTGAATGCCAAAGACCTTTGGCTCACTCTGCAAGTTTCGATTTCGACGTAATACGTAAATACGCGAAGCGTGTCCCAATTCGTCATTAATTTGATTATTTTGATTTCTTTCTTTCTGTAATTTTGGTGGCCAGTTCTATCATAACACGAGGATGAATATTTTTCTTTCTTTCTTTTTTTTTTTTTCAATCGAAACGAATATGAATGGCTTCTGTACGGAATAATTCATTTCTAACATGATTATAGACTATAGTCCGTTTCATGAGAAACGAAAGTGCAAGGAATAGCAGAGAGCTCATATTCTGTGAACTTCGTTTTTATTAGAGCGCGTACATGCCATAATTTATTATAACATTCACCAATTAATATTTACTTTATAATCGATCTACCATTAATGACATTTATCACATAAATCATAAACTAGATTATAAATTATAGAACTAGGATTAAGCATTTAAAAGATAAAAAAAGAGTTAAGTTAAATTTCGTTTTTTATACGATTGAGAAAATTTTATTACCACAGAGATAAAATGCAGACTGCAATTAAAAAAAAAAAGAAAGAAAAAAAAACGTTTCATTGAAAAATAAGAGGTTGCGCTGATACTTTTTATAGCTATTGTCTAGTCAGACTGTTGGCAATGAAGTTTCGTGTGCTGCACGAGAAATTGGAGTTGGATAACAGGTGAGAGTTTAAATGAGATACGTGACCAATGATAATTCGTAACATTCGTGCGCATTGGAAGGGGTTGTCTGAAACGCATGGTCCGCAACAGAATCGAAGGTAAAGCTTCGAGGACTAATCAGAATCAATTTACATTATTTTCACCATAGGAACTCGCTCCCCTATCGATTTAACACTACTATCACCGGCTAAAAATATTCAAGGTGTACATCACGAATCTTTACATTATGCGATGCATGAAAAGTTTACATAGTGGAGGAATTAGTGTTTGTTGGCCTGCTATAAAAAGAGAATCTTTGTCGAAAAATTCTATATAAAATTCCATACGATAGATGGAAATTTGATTTTCTTCATTTGATGTTATTTGAACGTTCAATGATCCCTTTAGAGTCACGCAGTAGCGTGACAAACTTTTTGACAGAATTTCTCCTTCTATCGGAAGTGCTAAGCACTCTAACTGGTTACTTCATAGTTTTTGAACTCGTTAAAATAGTTTCGTACACTTTTTAGCGAGCGAGGAATTAACTTGTCGCAATGAATTTCAATTCGACGATTAAGAAAGGTGATTATCACTGAATAATTCGCTTATCTGTAGATCTTTAATACTTTTTGCATATTTGGATATATATTATTCGAAAAAAAAACATGAACGAAATGTTGCGTTGTTATGTTTTATAAATTTCGTGTTTTTAAAGAATCTTGATTGTGTGGCGTCTAATCATAAAATTGCTGTCAGTAAAGTATGCGATGCTTGGATGATACTTCCGGACCGGAACTACAAATAGACCATAAAATCAAGTTGCCATAACAAGTCAACATGCGCAAGCAAACGAGTATTTCTGTACACGAGTTTTAGATTCGTCAATTTTATTTACTGCGTTATACATGTTAAGAGATCAGAATACTCAAATTGGCAAAATTATAAAAATCTACAATTAGCAACCTGGAGTTTTAATTCACTAATTAACGCTGACAATTAACATTAACAAATTATCATGTGCTGACATATTGATCGCTATTCTAAAACACAAAAAAACGTGATAAATCTTTAACGATTCTTTTCTTTTCTTTCTTTTAATTTTCGTCCCCCCGTTACACGTGAATAACGATTTTCACGAAGCAAGAGAAGATAGCGTTGTTCCTTATTCATATTTAATCATTTGCTTTTTATCTTTCATACATATAAATATTATTCTGTAATAATATTTATATATATATATATATATATATATATATATATATATATATCGTAAAAACTCTGTCTAATATTAAACTTCGTGTGTATATATACACGAAGTTTAATATTAGACAGAGTTTTTGTGATCAAGTTCGTCTATATTAATGTCGCGTTGTCTTGTAAACGATTCGCATGACTAAAGGTCATTGTCCTTATCGTCGATAAGTTCCTAGGAAAGTGAAGCTTTCACGCACCGGTTTGTCTGTTCCTCGCTCATAACTATGCGGAAATACATATCGTGCAATTTAAAATTGCATAATGTTCATAAAATCGAGATGCTTAATGTACTTTATTTTGTATTATTTATTATTTAATTTTGCCTTATTTATTTTGTATCTCTTATTTTGTACATGTTAATTTGTTTTTGTAATGATCATTTTAAACTTGCTTATTTACGTTGTAATCAATTATCTAAATGAAGATGATATTAAGAATTGTAACTTGAATAGTATTTATTCTTTCGATGAAATATATTGTGTTAATTTTTTTTATTATTCATTATCTTGATTCTTGTATATTTTATATATTTGTTACTACGAACAATACTTACCATGTAAACATTACTTGAAACAGTATAATTATACCTAGGTATTTTTTATAAAAAGGAGATTATAATTTATTCCGCCTTTGTAACTAATTTTATAAAACTTATACAAAATACCGCAAATAAAGGATATTTCTCATTGAACTAAAATTTGAATTCGAATTCATCACCTATAATGCTTGATAAATATTTATTCTCTCACTATCAGTATTACGAAATATGATATACAATTTCTTGTTCGACTCAAGTCCCAGTGAGTTTGCTAAATAATAAATCAAATACGTATGTTGTTAAACGTGTCTTTCACTTCCAATCAAAGTTTTTTTTTTTTTTTCTTCATCCTCAGAGGATGAAATTATTCTGATTGAGCATCTGCCGGGACGTCGAGTTCATCTTCAAGACTTCTTTTGGTCAGACGCGAAGGATGCTCCGCCATGGGTAGACGCTAATCAAGGCTTGACCTTTTATGAAACCAGAACAGTTTATCATACTGTAACATTGTACTCGCCAACGGAAGACAAAGACAATGACAAACCATTATTTACTAACTCTAACGAGCCGAAATGCACTACGTGCATCGAACCTACCCCGAGATTGGACGACGATGAGGATCAAAATATTGGTGTTCTTATTGGAGAAGATCCTGGTCCAAGGTAATTATATAATATGTACATTACTAAGCTGTGGATGCTTATGCATTTACACGAAATTCAAATGGAAACATAAAAGAGCAATGTTAAAAAACATAAAAAATGTTTATAAAAAAAATAGAAATTCATAAAAGATAACAATATTGTAATAAATGAATAATCCTTATTTCTTTAAATATAAAAAAAACAATATTAAAAGATATAAAAAGTATAAAAAATATTTATAGAGAAACAGAAATAAAAAATAATAATACAATAATAAGTGAACATTCCATTTGAAATGTAAAAAATATAAAAATGTTAAAAAAAAATAAAGAAAGTAAAAATATACAAAAAATTTATAATTATGATGTTACAAATAAATTATCTACATTTTTCTACGTTTCTACGTTTTTATCTACGTTTTTGTAATTTTACGAGTAAGTATTCTATTATTCTATATATTTTTCCAAAACTGCATAATATCTATGGCCTAATCATCAGACTATGAAATATATTTTATTCTGTATTTAATAAAATATGAAGTGGCTTCTGAAGTGGAGCCTCTGAGACTCTCTTATATTCTCTTTAACAATACGACTGTAAATTAAAACGAACTCTATTCTGTTACGTTTATATCGAGAAGTGAGTAAACAAGGAAGAGAATAATATTTATTTAAAAGAAGCAATATTACACAAGTAAATTTTTATACTGAGTAATTAAGTTATTGTTATAGTATAAAATATATTCTTTTTACTTTCTACGATATAGATATTGGTTGCTAACAGTTCTTCGTGCTGGTGAGGCCATACCACCAAAGATCGAGTTGAAATTAGCTCGACTGTATAAAACTGCATTTTCGAGGCAACAACAACGTCATCTTGGACTTTTGCAAACGGACACACGATTCCGAAGAATTACGAGAGGTCACGCACTTGTTAAAAACAAGGTATGTCCCCTGAATTCCATTTATTACTTGCGTTAGACTTTCAATAAAAAAATCCAAACATTTATAAATACCATTTAAATATAATTAAATGATACACTATTTTCACTAAATTATTTAATAATACATTATATATTATTTAGAATAATATATTAAATAATAATACCGAAGATATATATATTGAAACAGGAATTTTTAGTCAATTAATTAATTCTTTGTAGTAGAATTCTGGTGAAAAATTATGCACGAATATTGTTTGTACGTCTTTACTTTGCCATTTCAAAAGTGTATGAATTTTTGCTACAAATCGGGCAATTAATGGGTATTCAATAGATCAGGGAGAGAAGTACGTATACCTTTATATGAGTTTGTATAGACTGCCTTCTGTCCGATTGCGATAGGATATTCGGAAATGTAACAGGAACATAGAATATAAACGGAGGTATCTGAACTGCTGTTAGACAAGGAGCGCGATACTTTGAGACAAAGACAGATACACGTGACGTAACGGACAAGGAGCGCGATATTCTACGACAAGGACAGACATACTTCTCTTTCTAACCTATTGAATTTTCACTAATTACGTGAATTTCAGAAACAATTCGTACACCTTTGGGATAAAAGAATAAAGTGCAGATCTCAAGCAAAATTCCTATACAGTTTTTGATACGATTTTTTTGTTTAATTAATTAGTTATAAACGATTCTTTCAACAAGTGCCTAGGCCTACGCGAGACTGTAATATGCATGACTACGATTTTTCATTAGTATCGAGCACTTCCAAGATTAAAGCTCGTTATTTGGAATCGTAGAAGCTTCCATAGACTCTGCAATTCATATTCAATGCATAAACATTAATAATTAATTATCTGTAAATCCAAGCTATGCGAAAAATCATCATATCGGATCCGTAGTAACTTACCACGACGGATTGTCGTGCAACAATAATTAATAACTCGTAATTTAAGCAACAATTCCGATATAAAACTATACGTGAATATTGCTTATAGTTTGATTTTTCTTCCGCGATACCAAAAGTGCATGAATTCAACCTAGAAATCGAGTAATTAATAAATATTCAATGAATTAGACGGAAAAGTACATGTATCCTTGTCACGTGATGTTGCTGTTCTTTTCTGTACNGTAACTTACCACGACGGATTGTCGTGCAACAATAATTAATAACTCGTAATTTAAGCAACAATTCCGATATAAAACTATACGTGAATATTGCTTGTAGTTTGATTTTTCTTCCGCGATACCAAAAGTGCATGATTTCAACCTAGAAATTGAGTAATTAATAAATATTCAATGAATTAGACGGAAAAGTACATGTATCCTTGTCACGTGATGTTGCTGTTCTTTTCTGTACTCAAGTGCTGCCATCTATGGATTGCGACTAGAAATTCGGAAATGTAACAGGAACATAGAATATAAACAGAGGTATCTTGATTCCTGTTAGACAAGAAGCGCAATATTGTGCAAAAAGGACAGATATACGTGACGTAGGCAGAGAAGGAGAGCACTATCGAACGACGAGGACAGACATATTTCTCTTTTTAATCTGTTGAATATTCACTAATTGCTGGAGTTTCAGAAGCAATTCGTGCACCTTTGGCATAAAAGAATAAAGTGCAGATCTCAAGCAGCATTCCTATACAGTTTTTGATACGATTTTTTGTTCAACTAATTAGTTATAAATGATTCTTTCAACAAGTGCCTGGGCCTACGCGAGACTGTAATATGCATGACTACGATTTTTCATTAGTAATGAGCTTTTGCAAGATTAAAGGTTGTTATTTGGAATCGTAGAAGCTTCTTTAGACTCTGTACTCTTTATTCCATGTACAAAGATTAGTGATTAATTATTTGTTAATCCAAATTATACGAAAATTCATCGCGTCGGTTTTCCGTAGTAATGTAACACGGCGGATTGTCGTGCGGTAATCATTAATAACTGTTAATTTAAGCAACAATTCCGATACGAAACTATATGCGAATGTCGCTTGTAGTCTGGTTTTTCTTCTACGATTCCAAAAGTGCATGATTTCAACCTAGAAATCGAGTAATTAATGAATATTCAATGCATTAGACAGAAAAGTACGTGTATCCTTGTCACGTGACGTTGCTGTTCTTTTCTGTACTCAAGTGCTGCCATCTATGGATTGCGACTAGAAATTCGGAAATGTAACAGGAACATAGAATATAAACAGAGGTATCTCGACTCCTGTTAGACAAGAAGCGCGATACTGTGCAAAAAGGACAGATATACGTGACGTAGCAGAGAAGGAGAGCACTATCAAAAGACAAGGACAGACATATTTCTCTTTCTAATCTGTTGAATATTTACTAATTATTCAAATTTCAGGAACAATTCGTAAACTTTTGGATTTGCATAATAAAGTATAAATACCTTGAGTAACGTTCCTTTATAGTTTTGGATACGATTTTTTGTTTAATTAACTTTAATTAATTAGTTATTAACAGTTACTTCGACAAGTGTCCGGCCACTCGCGACGTATGTCTACGATTTTTCATTATTATTGAACTTTTCGATGATTAAAGCTCATTGTTTGGAATTGCAGAAGCTTTCTTAAACCCTGCGCTTTATGTCCCGTGCATAGAGATCATTAATTAATATTCTCTTAATTCATGTTATGCGAAAATTCATCGGATAATCTTGTATGGTAGCAGGTGGTCGTGGAATAATCATTAATAATCGATAATTTCAGCAACAATTATGACTGAAAACTGCATGTGAATATTGTTTAAAGCTTAGACTTTACTCTACAATTCCAAAAGTATACGATTTTGTCCTAGAAATTGAATAATTAATGAATATTCAATAGGTTAGACGGAAAAGTATATCTGTCTTTGTTGGAAATTGGCGCTATCCTTTTCTATGAGCTCGATACTTCTGCCATCTGGTGGCGTCTGCTGGAAACTCTCGTTAGACAAGAGGCGCAATAGCGTGCGACAAGGACAGAAATAGAAATTTAATTCCATCGTTTCGCCACAACGTGGCGCTAGTGTTTCAGGGTCCATAAATTGAACAATTTTTCATTTGCAAAAATGATTAATTTAGGGGATTAATTTGTAAATGTTTGCGATTGTATTTCCTTAATTGAATCCTTAGCTTTCTTTCTATGTCCCGTTTGTCGCGTAAAATGCCCAAATAAGTATTTTTTAAATATATCCACTTCTTTAGTTTATTGGCAGGTGGCACCAGTATTGAAAAAGTGACATTTTTCTTTAATTGCAAGAAAATACGTATATATTAATTAAAATGATTAATTTGGCGATGAAATCATCGAATTTAGACTCTCAGATTTTTTCCAATATTCTATTTGATCCACAAAAATGCATAATTAATATTTTTCAATTTTTTGATCAATGGCTATTTCGAATTATTAAGGTAACATTTAAAATTTCAATCAAAATTTTGCAAATAGCTAGTTAAAATAACGAATGATAACTTTCACAGACAATTTCGAAGAACATACATTTCTGTTTAATAGATTAATTATTAAGAATGTTCATTAATTAACGATTCTCAACCTCTAGGAGGTTGTCAAAAGCTTTTGGAATTTTAACCCGGGATTACCCACCTGGGGGTCTAGCGCAGGTACATCCCGGCGACTAGACCCTCACGTGGGTAATCCCGGGTTAAAATGAAGATTACACCTCGGACAATTTATATTTATATTTTCAGGTTTATAATTATATTTTAAATATTACATAAGTAAGAAACACGAATCACCTATATTTAAATATCATGGGTACAATACAAATAATAATTCATACAAGATATTTTAACCTATTGTAAGTAAAAAATTACTGTCAATATTTTTATAAAACGCTTTTCTTTGCTTCAGGCAGAGATTGTCAATCAAGAGGAAACGCTCGAAATGTCACCGATTTCATCATCTGAGCCAAGAATTCAAGGAAATTCAGATGTTCTTCTTCCAACAACAAGCGTTAACAATGTCGAAAATCCTCGTGAACGTCTTCAAACGGATGATGTTCATCTAAAAAAATTAAATCTCGTTCAAGAGAAGATATTTTATAATAATAACAATCTGTCCACAACTTCAGTGAATTTTCATGAAAATACTACAGATTATACTAGTCAACAATCCTTGCAAAATGATGCATTAACTTTCAAATCATCTTCTACTGGATATAATCTTCAAGATGATGGCGACATTCAAGATAATCGTGCAAAAACATTGAGAAACGAAATATTGAATGACATTAATTCAGAGAGCATAAATGCAAGTAAATATTTGGAGTTGCGTTCCATGGATCATGCTGGAGATGAGATTGTTCAAGTTCGAATGCAAAATACGAGTGTGACCGAGAGTGGGGCTACGAAATTGATCTACTCTGTTCATCTAGGAGGAAAACCTGTACCTGCAGAAACAGCTGCCAGGGATATGGCTCTTTTGTCACCTCAAGAAGTTGCATTGGAACTTGGTGCGCCAGTTCTCATTCAGAGTGAACGTAAGAGATGAACGTTATTGTCATTCATTTCTTTTCTTTTTTTTCCGGAGGTTTTTCTTGATTTTAATATGATAATATTGTGTTTGTAATGCTTAATAGTTAGCATGCAATTTTTAACAATTTTCTTTAGTCTCAGTCGACTGACTTCCTTATATTATGGGAAAAAAGATTTAGAATTGCTAAAGTTATTACTATAATTATCATTATGACAATCATTTATAGGAATAGTGGAGTTGAAATTGTTAAAATCATTATTAAAGTTACTAAAGTCATAGGATTATCAATAGGAAAAATATATTCATTACATGCATTGTATTTCATTATTATAAATTTGTTCAGTTCTTAGTAGTAGACAATTATATGTATTTTTAATATTAATTTTTGTGCACACAGCGTACTTGAAAGAAACACGACCACTGGCTCTTTCAAGAAAAAGAGATGCATGGCTATTAATCGGTGCAGCAAGTGCTGGTTTTATATTATTAGCATTGGTCGTCGCGGGATTAATTCTTGTAGCAAAAAGGAAAAGAGCACATAGTGCTGTAGCTGCACCACCGAGTCACCATATTTTAAGGAAGAAACAAGAATACATTCAAGCAACTGCTGGTGTTGACAATAATGCCTGCTCGACGTCGGAAATGGAAATTAAGGTGTGTAAAGAAATTAGTGTAGCTGCATGGAAAACATGAGATTTTATTAATAAAAGATACAGATGAGTAAAGCGTCACAAAATGATGTTTAATAACGTAACATTGAAGTGATCTTCGATATTGCATTAATAATTATAATTTGAAAATTATATTCGAAATTCAAAATTGCGCAAATATCGGCACTTTGCTAATTATAAGCATACATAATTGTTTCTCTATTGTAGCTTGTGAGTATTAATTCCTTCAATAGTTTGCGTGACATTAATCATGAATATAAAGTATCGAAAGACCTAAAAGAGTATATTATCGAATAATTGAGCCAAATGACTAGTTGGAATTATAGGGGATCCTAACGACAGACTCGTGCATTTATGCGACCATTGACTTCAGGAAAATATTCGACGTTCCTTTAAACTGATTTATCGCGAAGTAACTCTATCGATCTTCTGCATATTCTACCCTTCTTTACAGACTGACGGTACCAGTCAGAGACAGACTCCTGGGAGTTTATCGAGGACTCCGGTTTCTCTTGAAACCCCCGACAGTCTCGAGGCAGGAATCCACGAAATTTCAAGCGACGACGAAGAACAGAAAAGTAAAATACGGGAATCGAGTCCGTGGGAACATTCTTCGAAAAGAACCAGGTACAATTAAGAGAATAAAAACATCATCTGTTTAAATTTATTTAATATTAATTATTAAATCGAATCTTTGTATTTTGAAAATTTTGAGAGTCTTATCTTAAAATTCGATATCTTTATTTTAAAAAATAATAATCCTTAAAACTTATTTTGAAATTCAATCTTCGTACTTTGGAACTTCTAATAATTTTAAAAAATAATTTTGAACATTTATAGCATGGTATTTTTAATAGTTATTATTTATTTAATTATAGATTGGCGCATGGAAAAATGTCACGAACGAATGCTATTGACACGCCTCGAACATCTGATTCAACAGACGTAATTGTCGATCATCTAGAAACGTTGGATTCATTGGAAAATAATTACACGAGGCAAGAAGAAGCTACAGCCTCGCCGCATTCTTACCTTTCTATGCCATCTTGCAAGCCATTCCCCAGCATGAAAAGTGTTGAACCACTTTCTAGAGTACTGGAACCAGTTATGGTGAACAAATCTTTTTACTTTGTTCTTATTCTTGCATGATATAATTAATATCTACTTCTGACGGTTTTTATTTGTTTTATTCAGGTCAAACATCTAGATATAGACTCACCAGAACTGGTGAGACGAGAAACTAATCATTTAGACGTTTATAGAAGTGATGATGCGAATGATAAATTTTTCGCGCGTACTTCGAGCGCTATCAAAGACCCTGGAGTTGTAGGACCGTTAGTATGGAATCTTCGGCGACAAAACTTCTCTGCAGAAGGTATAATTCTATTTATTATTCTAATATTTTTCGAATTTAACTTTGTTGTTACATAATTGTATAATTATAAACATTTATTCATTCGTTTTAACTAATAATATAAAATAATCTATAAAATTTTAAAAATAAAATAATCGTTAGACAATTTTTCTTTAAGACACATATAGAAATATAACGTACAAAAGATTAATAAACGTTATTTATTTGGAATTTAAGACAATGGTACATCTGGCACAGATGTTGATCCAACGTATGCGATGCCGTCCGGTCCTGTGGGAAAAGCAAGGAGAAGACTTCACGAACTTTTGGAAGATTCTTTTAGTCTGTTTGGAAGCAGAGATGCAAAACCAGAAGCACAGTTGCCTGCTACAAGACCAACTTCAGCAGCACGTCCACCAGACATTCTCACAGTGTTTTCGGAAACAGGAAGATCTACTCATACTAGGTATCTATGTTTATAAATTTTTATTTATTTTGCATATATGAAAAGAACAAAACTCTTCAAGGAGTTTAGATAAAAAGAACGGAAGAAAGAAAAAAACAGAGCTCTTTAATTACTTTTGTTTTATTTAAAATTGCTTTTAGTCCCGTATCTTCACCATTAACGGAAATGGAGACTCGGCCCTCTACTTCATTTCCAGTGAAATCCAATGACGCTAATATCGCAGAAAATGGACATTCAGTACCATCGCGATCTCGCAGCGGTTGGGGTTCCAGACCACTAAGTGCTGGTCCATTCCATAGGCCTAATTTAATGCCGGATGTTGACACGAGACGTATACTTGTAGACAGTCAACTTCCACCAGAAGATCCAGCAGTACCATTAATAGCTTCGATTAAGAAAGAACTTGAAAAATTTTCTCCCAAATAAATTAAATACTCGAAGAGGTAATAGCGTTACAAGTATTAAACATCATAGTACAATTGAGTAGTTCAACGATAATTTGCAAAAAACAATTCTAAAGATTGGTGAATATGCAAACTGCAGTTCTACTTTCTGCATTGATTTTGCAAAGATTGATATTATTAAAGATATTCTAATGATAAATTGATATAAAAATTTTCTTGAGACTGTTATTTGTAAGTATAACTAATTATCATACTTGCTAGTTCAATATTAATTTCTGGCAGTTTCAATCTCTGTACAACCAGTGGCTTGAGCCCGGGTTAACCAATTTACCAAAAAGTATTTATAAGATGGATAAAAAACATGTGAAAATCAGTATTTGAAATCAGCATTTGTAATAATTGTAAATATTTAACAAATTTTTATACGTACAATTTTAATTGATAATGTTTGTATCTCATGTAACATATCTAGTATAGCATATTCATTCAATTCATTCATTCATGTGTAAGATGATAATATTTTCTTGAAAGACTGTACAAATTAAGAAATTAGATAAAGTATATATTTACAAATTATATACATATTGACGTTATCATAGTCATTATTACTTTATCATTATAAAAATGAAATACTGCTTTTTTCATAGTGAGGATAAAGATGATTAAAATGAAAATGACTTTCTAGAAATAGTTTTTTATACTTTTTTGTTATATTTTTGTTTGTACAGATACAAGGTAAGAGAAATAAAAAAATTGTTACAATGTTCATTATCAAATTATTTATTTGTTAACTAATACGCTTATTGTATCTTTTGTTTGCCATTATATATATTATAAATTCATATAAATTAGTCAATTTGAATGCATAGTCAATTGACATAAACCGTCCATTTTTTATTAGGATTTGTTAATATTATATATATTAAAAATTTCTTCATTTTAAAAAATACGACTTTATAATTAATTCTATCCAATATAAGAATATTTTTAATCTAAGTATATTCCAATAATGTATCAGAAAACAAATAAATTATTGATATTTTTAATTACATATTATATTATATTTTTATTTATTTATTCTAAAAAATATTTACATATCAAACCGTTTTACGAGATTTTCAGTATTTCAACAAATCGATCGTTATTACAAAAATCTTTGTAGGTATGTTCATACTGAAGTTTAAGAACGGGATACTTTTTTGTAAAAAATTGTATATATTCAGGATGACTTGGATCAACTTCTAAAATCAAACGACCTCCCGGCTTTAAAGCTGTGGCAGCATACTTTAATAAAGGTTTAATAACTTTTAAGCCATCATCTCCTCCATCAAGTGCTGTTAAATCTTCGTAACTAAAGAATAAAAGCAAAATTATAAATACTGTAAGTATACAAATATTTATAATATTTGAGAAATTTTTTGATTTATAGTAAAGTTTATAAAAAAGACAATTCAATTACATTTTAATTTCAGGAGTTAATGTAGGTATTTGTTTGGTCGGTACATAAGGAGGATTACTAACTATGAGATCGAAAGTCTTCGAATTCAAATCGATATCATTCGGTCCACTCAATATATTCGATAGTTCTATCGAACCATTGTCTTTAAGCGTTGCGTGCACAACTGCAACTCGATCTTTTAAATTTAATCTGTCTCGATTTTCTTTAGTTAATTCGCACGCGTCTGGATTTGAATCGATTGCTACACAATTAACCTAGAAGTATTTATTTAATTTTACGTATAAGTTGTGTTAGTGTTGCAGTATAGGAAATTATTCTCAATATAAATAGTTAAATATATGCAAGATAAAGTAACTGATTATTATAATAGTTACTGTTTTGTCTGTTATTGTATGTGCAATCGCGAGAGACACGGCGCCAGAACCGCATCCAACTTCTAAAATTTCTTGTTCTTTATTTTCGGAAGAATTCAGTGCCTTCAAGACATAATGAACTAACATTTCACTTTCCGGTCTTGGTATGAAAACTGGCGGGACTAATTTTAAAGTAATATCTCGGAAGTCCCATTCCCCTATTATGTACTGAACCGGCATTCTGTAAAAATTTGATTTCAACGAGAGAGAACGACAAATAATAATGTTAAAAAGATTTTACCGAGATAACCGGCACTCGCACAACGAATCCAGTGTATCACGTTGATCTGACGTAAGTTGTTCATTTCGCGCGTTTGCAACGTCTAATATCTGGAAACAAATTTCTTTTTACTACTCGGAATAAATGTATATACCTTTTTAGTATTCTTTTATTTCACAATCATATAACTAATATAGAAAAATTATATTTTATTTAAAGGAGCAGCTCTATCACAAATAGATCTAACCAAAAAATAGAATGCTTAAAATAGCGAATACGAGCTGATGACTTCAGCAGTTAACTCCAGTCACCATGAAAATACAAGAATGAAGAATTGAAATTATTACGAGCCTGTTTTGAATGCTTAGTAATGGTAATACCTTGCTAGTGCCTATGACGTGCGCAACAATGTGCTCGATCGATTCTACGGGTTCTGGAATACCTTCCTTCTTAAACCGGTCGCTCCATTGTTCAATAATTTCACCAACGGTAGAACATTGTACGTTCGTTGTAGACAGACTTCGCGTTGGTCGATTAAACGTGATAATTTTACTTTTACTGCATTGTATACACGCTTCGGCACTTACGACGCTGAAGAAAGTACGAACACCCGAGAGACATCGAAACAGCATTATGTTTCACGTAGAATAGTTCGTCGTTATCATACGATCGCGTTATTAACCGAAAATTATATTTTACGCGATAACGTACATACGAGATATTAAAAAAATTTTGTATTCATTAACCTCACAATTCGCTCGCTCAGTTCTGCTACGTGCTGCCAGCTGTTGGAAAATACATTTAATTACATTCTCTCGCAATATAAGGTCGATCGAGCAGAGAGAAGGTTGACGTAGAAGAAGCAATTAAGTATTCGTGGGGGCAAGTAAATTACAAGTAACATATCAACGTAATTGTAAATGCTTACAACTACACAATACGTACACGAATACGAAAGAAACTCATTATCGAACATGCCAACCAAACACACGGTTCTTTCAAACAGTACAAAGCCAAATAAATGTTGCATGTTTGACAAATCTGTGTTGTTGTCGAAATTTTTGTCGTTGTTCTGCGATATTGACCGGTTATATCGTCAATATCAGGCATTTGAATTCTTTGAAATTTGCAACATATCGTTCGTCTTGTGTTCAGTCGATAATGTATCGTCGATTAGCGGCGCATGCGCAGTACTTGTGTAACGGAAAGAAGGGCGCGGGCCTATAGGCCGTGATTCGGTTTAGGACGCCAGCAGTCGCCACTGGTCCAACTTGTAACTCGCGGCTCGCTTATACTTGTGATTCAGTCTGCCATGATAGTCGTCAGTGTCGCGCGAGTGCGCCGTTGAACTTTTGCATATCGTTGACTGTGCCTTTTTGACGAAAGGGACGATTCAATGGGCTAAGCTGCTACACACTTTGACGGACACGTGTGTTCGATTGTTTTGGAATGACGGCGCTCCCGTGTTCGACTATCTGAACCTAGAGAATCTTCTACGAGTCGCACGCGTCTTCAGCCGAGTGAATGGCGGCGGGTGGTGTGGTGGCGGTGTTGTGATGTGTGTCTCGTGCCGCGTTGACTGTCAGTTTCGTCGCGTATCGAAAATCGCGTCGGTTTTTGATCTCGTGTGACGCGGCGTTGTCGTTATCGCGATACGTACGATCGTACGTGCGGAACGATCAACGAGTATGCACGCAGTTAATTGTAATACGCTTATCAACATTCGTTTTCCCCGATCGTGCAGCATTTGTTTATGAGCAGAGGTTGCTCGAAGAGTGTGCCCGAGAGTAAGGTGTGGTGAAAAATGACATGTAGATTCTCGTTGTTCGTTCGCTCTTGCCTCTCTTTCTCCTTCTCAACCTTTCCCCCTTCCTCTTTGTTCTAGGCACGCGTATTCCTATCCTTCCCTTCCGCCTTCACCCGTTTGGTATACCGGCGAGAGTCGAAAGCCTCTCGCGAAGGTAAGAATTCGCTGTCACGCGCGATTGTCACGATACTGTTCTCACACGGAACGATGCATTCCGGTGACGAAGTAACGGGGAGAGAAACATCGCGAGGATAAAACTATCTTCGTGCATGAAAATTGTGTTCTCGATCAATTCCTCTTGTGTACGTACTCCGTGTGTGAAAGAACGTTTTCAATTTATTTTAGCTAAACGACAAAAAGAGAGGGAGTCAGTGTTTCGTTTCACAAAGAAAGAAAACAACGGAAGAATCTCGTAGAAACGATACAGTTTTGGAATACGTTGTTGGGATTAAATGCCGGAAACGACCGGCCATGAAGAAACAGTTCGCTCTGGTAGGTTCACGCCCCTTTGCGCGTCACGTATCGCCGTATCGTCGATCATCGACTGAAAATTTACCAATGTATTCGGTGTTGCGTGATCTGTGCCGCGTGAAAACCTAGTATCGGAAGAATCGCTTATCGAGCGACGCGCCTCCGCGAGTGTTGGTGTTTCTTCCTGTCTGTTAGCGGTCCTGTGGTTTCCATGCGGGGATAGATCGAAGCGTGCCTCGAGGGAAAAACGTGCCTCGTATTGTATCGTAAAATAACGGGGCATCGAAAGTGACGTATCGTTCGCTCGGAATTCATTCCGTGACAGGGAATTTCCTGTTACCGATATTTGCGCTCACTTGGCGCGTACGCGACGTTGCGCGAGCGTGCACGCCCTTCCCGCCTGGCCTCCCTCCCCTCGCCCTAGTCTACGCAGCGATCGTCGTCCACAGCCGTCTCTACAGGGGAGCGATTTCGTCGGCCGTGTTGTTTAGTGTTTGCACGTAACGGCGGTGTGACCGAGGGAGCACACACATCAGTCGTATCGATGGACAGTGTCGCGTTATGCGTGCGGGCCAGTCCGAAATACGCGACACCGCGTGAAACTGTACACGCGCCGGCTATCATCAACAGAGAAGAGATATCCTGCGTTATCTCTTTCTCACGTTTGAGTGGAGAACCGTGCTGTGAATGAGAAGATGTTCAACTTTATGAAGAAGGCTACGGAGAAGGACGACAAGGAGAAGCGGAAGCGCGAGAAGAAGGAACGAAAAGATGTCAAGAAACGAGATCGAAGTAGTATGTCCGCTGAGGAATTACTACGTTTGGATGAAGTACGTTTTCTTTTGTTTGTTTATTTCTTACAAGTTAGTTTGGTTGAAAAACAGTAGGTTTATCCCTAACGTAACATTGTCCGTTAGTTATTCCTTGTTCGTACACGAGGTCCTTTCTTTTGGTACACGAAATATGCGTAATATTATCCTGTGAAATTTATTTCGTTCGTCTGATAAAAATTTGTCGGAAATGCATATGTCGAAATATTGACTGTATCGTTGACCTTTCCGCGCTTTTTCCAACGTACTTATCTATAAAGTGGATGTAGTAGATAATTTCTACGATATGTCGTGTTTGAGTCATCGTGGATAATCTGTTTTTATCTGCGAGTAGTTTATTTTTCTTTTTTTTTGGAGGGGAAGTTTAAAGATTATGTTCGACGAGTCGTATGTATTCGCTGTATAGTAACACAGCATACCACAAATATTTCGTCATATGCCTTGGAAGAATTTTCCAGGTTTTTTGTCCGATGTGTAGATTTGAACCTTGGTATTTAAATACATTTTCATAAGTTTATCGTAATGTCAGTATGAAACATTACAAATGCAAATGAATTGCTGCATTGGAAGTATTTCCTATTTCTGTTATTTACTTACATTAAAAAAGTAGTATTTTTCATATATATATATATATATATATATTTCGTGTATTATTATTGATAGTAATTTGTTACGATTACTTTCTTTTTCGAAATACATAAGTTATTTTAAAATTCAAAACGAAATGTTTTTATATGATAAAGAAATGTATCTTTTACACTTCTAGTCAATTTTCGTAGTAAAATATAGATAGCTTGAAATAAATTTTACTTTTTATAGAATAGCAGTACAAATAGAAGAAAATTTTTTTTTATTTCTGTAGAACTTAATAGAATAAAAATTACTTGTATAATATAGATTTTAATATTTCGTTAATTTTCTATTTTTAATAGAATTCTATATTGTTTTTATTATTTTTATTGTATTAAAGATATCACTGATCTCGTACAAAGTAATCTCGAGATAATTCAAGGTCATTCAGTGGTATGCGAGTGATGTATGTATGTATATGTTGGTAGGAGCAGGAAATTCTTCGAATATTCGCTGTAACATCGGGTTTCCTTTTAAAAATATAAATAAAAATGTAGATTGCTATTAAGAAGAGAATGTTAACAAACCTCTTTATCATTACCATACATTTTACGAAAAATGTATAATTTTTTCGATACAACATTCGACACGGAACGTGTAATTTTGCTTATAATTAAGGCACGTTTCTTTCTTTTTTATATAACAATGTATCAGTTCAAGGATATTGATGATTTGTCAAGCAATCTGTTTTAGTTTCGTTTTAAACGAAGGAAACATTGAATTTTATTTTTAGTCTCATTTGTCCACCGTTTCATTCATCAAACGAAAAAATAGTTAATATATCCAAGATGTTTGACGAATTGTGAGGCGAATATGAATTGTTGAGCATCACAACGCGACTATTTAAGATTTATTTCTACGCATTCGTATATCAGTCTCTCTCTCTCTCTCTCTCTCTCTCTCTCTCTCTCTCTCGTACTTTCTGCATCCGTACATCACGTTTTTATAACCTTAATCATTCTTCGTCTTCTTTCGTTTTATTTCAAAGAACATTTGCCGTTGTGCACAGTGATAAATGTCACGAAAACTCGTGCAGTGCATTGGAAAAGTAATTTGTTTGTCGCGAATGTATGGCGGGGTAGTACATGTACCTTGTAGTTAGAGAGGAAATGCGGATGCATTATCAGCAGGTAGTGGAACTCAGGTGAAAGTGTTATGTCATTAAGTCTCATTTAATTCTCACTCGCCGATTATTAAGATAAGAGGATCTTAACATTTCTACCGGAGATGTATGGAACTACACATTTAAATATATAATTATTAGGCTATACGGATAATTGTTACGTACATACCTTACGAAGTAACGTTATATTCAAAGGTGTGAATTGACATGTATCATCTATAACAGCATCATTTGGATATGACGTATAAGCGCACAGTGTGCAGTGAACTCTTGCATTTCTTCGAAGTTGCTCGTTTGAAACGAATTAAATAAATTTTGAAATTGGACAGCTTTTATTAAAATTTTTCACTAATATAGATGCACAATCGTTCGAAAATTAAGTATGTCATTTTTAACATTCATGGTTTACGAAAGGAAATAGAAGATATTTTCATTCTTACGTTCAATTTAAAACAAACAAGTTGGAGTAATTTTTATTCTTTCATAAATCATAAATATTAAGAATGACACATTTTTATTATCTCTGTATTTCATGTTCTAGTATTTCTTGCCTCATATTATTTTTTTTTCAATTATTATTTCCATTTTTTTTCATATTTTTCATATTATTCATATCTGTCTCTTATTTTTGCAAATGATAACGTTTCTTTAAATTGCTTTTGAAAAATCCACGTTCAATCATTTGTTTCAAAGATAATTGATAATTATTGCTTAGTGCTGGGTATATATTTAATTAAAGGCCTTTCCGAGTTGCGAAATCGAGGGCACTTTCATAGTTAGTTACTTAATTACACTTGAATTTGTAATTGTTCCGACATCGGCCATTGCTCCCTCTGAATGTACGCTCACCACGCGTAATTTCATTTTATCGTATATCTTTGTGCTGATTTTTCTTCTAGCTTACGCGATTACTTTTGCTGTAACAGTAAAATAAAAGTAGTAGACAGAATGGACGAAACCTTGTCTATTAAAAATATTCTAACAATATTACATATTTCTTGTTTGATTTATTACACGAAATTATTGCTTCTTTAATTGAATGCAAGAATAATTTTTTATTCGCATTCAAAGTATATTTAATCGTTGCTACTGCAATCATTTTCTTAGTCTACTCTCAAACAACTTTGAGTTTATTTTTCCCTGTTTCAATATCTAATCTCGTGTACGAAGAGATCATTTCTTCTTCCTTAAATTGCTTATCGATGAAACATATGTTTATAAAATGCGGAAGATAAGAATACATAATAATTGCATAATTTATTATTATTTTTAAATTAAATAATTTCAATACCTATATACCTACGATAATATTATTGGTTTAAAAATAATATTCAAACATATAATTGATCATGTAATAATGTATGCTCGCAAAAAGAATAATTTTCTAAATGTTTACTACTGTTTATTGATCACTTTTCTTGGCATTTCCTATTACCGATTGACAAATATCATATTAACAAACATTATTGAAAAATAATCGTGAATGAGAATTATTGTAATAAACTTGTTATGCATCATTTACTTAGAGTGCATTTATATGTTGTTTTCTCATACTATTATGCAAAGATACTTAATCTAAGAAAATGGATGTTTTATCATGCACGGTTGCCTTTTATTGTCAGACATTTATCTCCTTAGACCTTTGGTATCAAATATCTTTACATGGTATGTATATCGCTTAAAGCATGTTTGTTACTTTGCGTGCATCTGTAATCCCTTTGTAATGCTACATTAAAGTTAAAAGATAAAATTAAATCAAATCGAGAACATGACAAAAGTGATCTTGTATTTCTCGGTTTTCAAGCTAAGCAACTTTCGTTTTTTGTATAACAACGGCGAGATATAAATCAAGAGATATATTGGTTTTGATCTCCGTGACATTTTCTTTCCTTACTTATGTCTGTAGTACATTTTGACAAAATTTAGCCACAAAAGATCACCCTATACAAATCACGTACAATGGACTAATCAAGTGCATTTGTTTCTTTCATAGGTTCGGAGATCGTTGAAGATTCCTGGTCGCCGGAAGGAGAAGGAGAAGTTACCGAGCGGTATCACTGCAGACTATAGCGCGTCGTTTTTCGCTTATTTGGACCGCGATATTCTGGAAAATTCGCAAAACTCGTCCAGCTCGGGGCAATGTGTTCGCACTGGTAATAACTGGAATACCAGGACGCCGGACGGTTTGACGCAGAGTGACTCCTCCGAAACTTCACTCACCTCGCTGACAATCACCACCGCTACGTCCTCGGTCACGCCGACCAACGTGTCTGGACAATCGGGGAAGAATTTGCCACCACTGCCACCGAAGCCTCCGAAGCGAGGCATTCTCAAGGGACCACGTCTTACTGTTAGTAATACCGTGAACTCGTTGTCGGAGGAAAGCCATCTGCCAAACGGAAACGAGACTAATTACCAAGAGGCCAGCAATTTACTGGTTAGGAACACGTTGCAGAACGAGGTGATCGCGTACCAGAACGTGCCCGCGCATTTGTCAGGATTTGGTAACGCTGTTAACAAGGAGGAAGCTTGCAGCGAGGAGGAAACGCAGACGGGGCAAAGCGCGTGGCAAGTATCGCCTCAGCGAGCAGCTCAACAAACTCAGCAGCAGCAGCAGCATCAGCAACAACACCAGCAACAACAGCATCATCATCATCACCAAGGCGACACCAAGTTGCTGCAGGTTAGTTGGGAGGAGATAATTGATTTTAGTTAGATACGTACATGTACTGGTGTACGAGGCACTTGTGGATTGAAATTCATGATGTCCAAGCTTAAGCTTCGAAGCTTGGAGGGGTTTGGTCACGTTTGTTACCGTGGTATTACAGAAACGGTAGGTTGGTCTGGCACTTTATCTATGATACGTTACACCCTAGTGTAAACACTAATACTTATCGGCTTGTGCGTTAAAGAGGTTGGTTTCCATAGTATGTATTAATAATACCTACCGTGCCACTTGGGACACTGGTGGTTTATGAATTTTTATCGCGGACATACATTTTGAGAGTTCAGTTTTTATTGGGTTGTTTGTGGGTCTTCCGTGTCGGGAATAATTCCAACATGCAGCAATACATTTTTATAATATATGTTTCGAAATTATATTATTTTATTATTTTGTGCGTAATTTATATTTCAAAATTTACTAATTATAATTCATAAAATAATTACTGTATTGTGATCACAGCACTCACAATGCAGTGATCATATACTATGTGATTACGTTTATATGGTATCTAAGTACTATGTTTACCGAATTAGGGAGCATATGTATGTTATCAAATGGTAATATAACACATATGCTTTTAGTAAATGATTACGTGATATTCGAGCACGTACATGAGCCTTCTGGAAGCCCAACTAAATAGTATCATTTATATGGACTATTGAGGATCATAACAATTTAGAGTTAAATTACTTAATTCTGGAGTTTTCAATTAATCAGTAATCTAATATCTAATCAGTCAATATAACGATATCATTCTAAAGTTAATAATCGAATCGTAATTTGTTATTTTACAGGTGGTGACTAGCGCGAGCCCGTCCGCAGATTCTCTAACAGACACCACGAATTCCAGCTTTGCAACACCACCTTTCAGTCTGTCGCCTGTAGGAGAATCCCAAGGCTTGTCGAGGTGGAGATCCTCGGCATCCTTCGAAGAACAGGGCGTCGAGTTGCAGTTACCAGAGATCGTCCCTCTGGAACTGCCCGAACCTCGCGAGCTTACGATCCAAAGACAACCACCGCCTCGAAACGACTTTGGTTTCTCACTACGTCGAGCTGTGATCGTAGAACGAGCTGCAAACGGTGTCACGCAGATGAGACCTGTGATCTTTGCTGAACCAGGCTCATTGATACAACATAACAACGACACCGGTTTACTGCCAGGCGACAGGCTGATCGAAGTCAATGGAATTAACGTGGATGACAAATCGCGGGAGGAAATTATCGATCTCATTAAAGGCTCCGTTAACAGTGTCACCGTAAAGGTAGGCCATTTTAAAAATATGAATGTATAATTTTATTACTTTATTTCCTTTTCAATTAGTGAGAAAAAAATATTTGAGCTAATAATTTGCATTACGTGTGATATTATAATATTATTATTGTGAAAGGGTTAATTTCAACGATGAATAGATTGAGGGGGAACAGTTGATTTCATATGATCCTCATAGTTATTTGAAATCAGTCTAGTCACCTCGTTGCAACAGCACTGTTGTCTGTAAGACAATAGGTCTTTTCTTTCAATCTGGCAAGAACCAACGTATCCGTTGTTACCAGAAAAATTATAAGAGATACTTATAATTTCAATTACACGCTACATTTGAGCTCTGTGCGTTTTGTAAGATAGAAAACAACTCTCGCATTGTATATTAAACCTTGCTATTTTTCTGATTTGTTCTTCACGTTTCTACATCTTCACTTTCTGGAGTATTTTATGTAAAAATAATCGTAGAATTTACAACAGATAGTAAAATCATAATTATAATTTAATCACATATCTAATACTGCATATTTAAAAAGCACCTATATTTTAAATATATCTATTGAAATGTAATGTCCATTTCATATGTTATATACACTCAAGAAGCAAAGCAGTTAAAAAGTATTCGATCCTTTATTTCAATTGAAACTCAAAATTCAAGCTCAAGTAAAATACGAGTCCAAAAATAAAACCATCCTTAAGTTTTTGTAGACAAGCATCTTTGGTTGCCACTTTTTCTGCCTTGTTTTCCACGACGAAAACGGTTGTACACGGGATCGTTGGTGTTGCCGGTAAAAGTGAGAGCGTTCACAGGTACGCTTGGTCGGTTCGAAAGGTGATCGGTGTACGGAACAGCGAAACTGGTGTTTCCCGGCTGATCGTGGTTGGTTCATTGCCACTGGTGCACCGAATATAGCGGGATCGTGACTCATGACCCATAATAAAACTATACTTGGACCGGGAGTGTCGCGTGAAAATAACTTCTTACCGTGAGACCCAACCGATGATCATCTTCCATTGGTTCTTCGTTATGACAGTTGGTCACGAACTTGAAGAATTAAGCACTTAACCCTTACACCCATAGATTTGGAATTAGCAATGTAGAATGTTACAGATAGGTACTTTATTAGACTTCTTAGACTGTTAAAGCAGTAAATGCGCAATCACATTTGTTGATATGAATTTGACAGATGATAGTTTCTAATTCTGTGTGATATTTTCACTGTTAGTAAACGAGCTTTCTTCTTATTTATTCTTCTCGTTTGGATTTGAAGTCTTCGAAATATTGCGGGTGATTCCCTCGGAAAGGAAGAGAGTAATGACATCAACTCCCAATTAGCACCGTTGTGTCATAGATGACACACCAAACTTTGAGTTTAAGTTATGTAATTTAGGAGTACGTCATTTATTTTCTGTCGTATCGTATTTCGTACTTTGCTCAATAAAATCTTACGAAATATACAAATGGAAATCGATTTGTTTCACGAGTATTTATAAACATTGTTTCTTGTAGATTCTCGATTTAATCGCCGTGGTCCATAGAGTTTAATTTGCCGAGCCGCATCTTGTATCACTTCTATCTCAATTTATTTCTCCGCGTGTAAAGCGGGCAAGGAAAATATACCACCGTAGCGAGTAGCACGAGTCCGTCTGGTTCTGTCGTTCGAAATGTTGGAACATTTCCAGTTCGGGTTGTAAAGTTACCAGAGGATGTATTGATTAGGCTTCGAGGGCCTTCGTTACAGGTTTGTACCCCGGTTCTCCTTCTCGGTAAACGAAACGGCCTTAACAGAAAGAACGTAACGTGATTTACATACTTATATTATGTACAGCTAGGCCTCTTGCAGGTGTTCTCTCGGTCAACATCCTGTTTCCTGCGCTGTACACGTTAGACGGAAACTACTTTAATCTTCCTGAGAGCTCGTGCACGCGGCTAGAAAGTAGATTCAGGCATCCGTTACACGCGTGATATCTATTAAATACGTACGGTTAACCATGAGCTTATCAGCATGTACAGTTGGTCCTCTGTTACCCGAATTTCTTCAGCAACTCCTCTGCAAGCTTGATAACAGCGTGGTAATTCCTGTGAAACTATTACTAAGGAATGTTACTAACGTAGTGGGAAATTATAATTCATTCGTTCGTATTTAACGCTAGAACCACTGACGATTGATACTTACAACCACTTTTGGTAGTAATACTGAGACCGGCAATTTCTATTAAAATCTTTGCTGTGAAGAAACGTTTAGTAATTAAAACGTATAGAAGACTATAAACAAACACGTATTTAACTAATTCAAGGCGAAAAGCAAACTCTCATCTTTATATCTTGCAAAGAATCATTCAAAATTGATCATTTTGACTATTACGGTAGAGGTATGCAACATCGATAATAGGGATCGAATAAAATTGTAATGGAGTGTATGATGTTCGTAGGTGCAGCCAGTTGCGGAATTATCGGAATTATCAAGACGCGGTAGTAGCGACGGACGTCAGGTCGAACTTGCGGCTGCGAATATCCGTGGCGGTACACTTCGACGATCTGGTAGTTTGCGGTTTCATCAAAACATGGTGAGTACTCTCTTTTCTGTCTTTAGGAGGACTCGCGGAAGATTTCTCTTCCGTCGTCTCAGAAAGAAAGGGCAGGACTTTCCATTCGCTCCATCCATTTAATTCAATATAAATCGAACCTTTTCATAACATTTTATTCAAATAGAAGAAAGAACAAAGTACTTTGAGTGATAAAATCGTCAACGAGGCGAGGGATAGACACTAGAGATTTTATCGTTCAGTTGCATTCAATTCGAAATTCAATTGTGAAAGTAAGAGCAGGTATCGACAAACTATCAGATATTTACGAAGAAAAACTGGGAAAATGTCGGGGTAGGAAATAAGCGGGCGGGAAAGAGCGAAAGACGCGGTGGGATTGTTTGGTACTTCAACAGAAGAAATGGTGTGGCTGTGCAGAGGGAAAAAGACAATAGTAGGGACGGATGCTTTCCACCCACATTCCTCGCAGCGGTGCAGTGGCATAGTAATCGCTTAACGGTACATCTGCTGTCTTGCCCGTTCCGCAATACCAGCTTTCGGTCCAATCAAAAACCGGAATCCTACGATAATAGCGCAATTACACGGCAATGAAGCTTTGTCACTTTTTACGACGATATTACGAATTAAGTAATCACGGTGGCAGTTTATGGATTTTATGATTGTGGTAAAACCACGTTCGTAATGATATAGGGATCTTTCGACACTTTAATAATTGCTTTATTTAGCTTCATTAGCCTCGAATGACCGTTCCAATGATCAATATTAAAATTGCTGAATCTGTGTCTGTTAACGTTGCAGTGAGATTACTGGGAATAAATATAGCAGCAGCGAAGATAAACGTTTAATCTAATAATGCAATAAAAGAAAGTGTTATTTATTGAATGCTTGATGCTCTTGAACCGTGTATCTTGCATACTCGCCGTTTCCTAGGGAAATGCTTGAAATCGATCTCCAATGGTTTTTTTTTTAGAATTAAATAAATTCTTTAAATTAAAGATTCTTGCGATTGTGATTTTTTTTATTCTATATTAAATCGAATTTTGAGATTAATTTCTTTTCTCTTGTGCAGCTTGAATATTTAAACGAGATCTGCATGCGATATTTAATGTAATTAATGATTAGCGATCAGTCTCATTCCGCATAAAGTGTATCCAATGAAAATTTTAATTAAATTTCGATAAGAACGTTGCAGTTGATGATCGACGACGTAACCAGTGATTCGTGATTAACGATTAATATTTATAATTACTCCACGATTTAATTTTACGCCAAATGATTAATGCGGTGATCAAGCTCTTCCAACGATGGGCATGAATTAATAAATTAAATTAAAAATTTTACATGATTCATGCCTGCCAGTACTCAGTGGTTCGCGAGACGATAAAATCTTTTTAAATGAAATTAATTTATCATCTCTTCTCTAGTTTGTCAAATTTGAGAAAAAGAAAGACACTAAATTATGTAAATAAGCGAGCACTATGGCTACATTTTATTTAAGGGATACCAATTTGTGTTTTGAAAAGATCGAACAAGATGATGCATCTTTGATCAAGCAATCACAGGCAATTTCCCTGAATTGTAACCAGCGATGAATACCAAGTACACAGCTTCCTATCATTTCCAAGTTAATGCATAACGAGAATTCTGTCGAGCTACGGCATTTAACTGTCTGTTAATCGTCGGTGGCCGCCGACAATACCATGCGAAAGTGGTAGTTGCTGTGGAAATGTACATTGTACAAACGCGTTGCACTCGCCTTGAAACGTATAATAAGACGAACGTGATAAAAATATGCAGAGTGCGTCACATGTAGAAATGGAACGAAAGTTCGAATGCGACTGTATAGCTTGGAGCGATCCGCGTGTCGTAAAAGTGCATAATGCCTTTAAGTAGAAGTTGGGTGAAGCTAGAAGTAGATTTGAACTCTCTCTAACTGCTTTGAGGTATGTAAACGGTACTTTCAAGTGTGACCGGTAGATTATGGATATTTATATGCAAATTCATATTTTTTACGAACACGTCCGAAGAGATGGGACTTAAGTGGACATTTCTTTCATTTGCTCTCATTTTTTTCTAAATTGCGTTCGTAAAAATGTGAAATTTTCACGAACATCTGCAAGTCTTAATAATTACGTTCCTTTCTTAATAAAAGTTAACAGCGTTTTTAGTAACAGCGAGAACGAAAGTTACTCTAAGCCACATCGATAGAAGTAAGGTCAATAGGTATATTCCTTCCAGCAGTGTAAGCGCCTTTTAAATGGCAAGAAGGTAAAAGTAAAGTGATAGAATTTTCCTATACCTGGCCTGTTACGTCACATGCTGTGAAGCTGTCTCTTTCGTTTCAACAATTTTTTAAGACAGCGTTAAATTCAAATTACTATTTTGCACAAAAATAAGCTTTGATAATATTCCTTAGCTTAATTTTTTACATCGTGCGTTACTGACTCTATGCCATAAATGCACATATTAATAGGGAAATTTATGATTTATTAAGTAAATATTTCAAATGTACATTAATTTTTGGAAACTTAAAATGTTAGATTAATTAAGCGGTTGATCATTGATTATTAATCATCGTCATCATCGTTTATTTCTACATGAATCGTTGGTTAAATTTATTTGATAAAGAATTTGTGATATTTTTATAATTGTATAATTTATTACTAATCTATATATATATTGTATAATTTATTACTAATCTATTCAGAACGAGGTTCGTATCTGTACTTGAGCAAAATCTGGTTATACGTATGGACTGTTGGTAAAACAGAGTGCGATCTAGGATCTGAGATCTGGATCCGATCCAATGTACTAACAGTTGGCAACAACCCGACTTGACTTTTTTTCAAAAAGTAATTTTTTAAAATATTTTTTAACGAGCAATAGACAGAATAAGTAATTTTAACAAGTGGGTCAACAAATTGTTTAAAAACAAAGATATATTTTATACACGAAAAATAATAATAGTATTGTAAATTATATCAATATTAATTTTAGACACAAATATCACGGGAGAAAAGGTAAAGTTAAAAATAGGTAAATTAATCTTTTTCACTTTTCACATCTCTCATTTCCATAATGTTCAAGTACATCTATCTACAGTAACTGCTGTATGCATTATACTAATCAATGATTGCGTGTTCTCCTTTCGTCTTATTCTAAAAGCAAACGAATCAGCTACTCGTGATAACTTTGTGCTCTGCACTAAAATGCAGATGTGTTAATCATATAGTTGTTGTACACGTGCACGGTAATTAAAGATGTGAACCATGTACTTGATCGTTAGTTTGTATTCATAGCATTCGTGTTGACGTAAAATCAGACGATTAAAAATTACACGCTACCGCATTAATGTGCAAACGCATTGTCTACCATTTGAATTATCGTGGTGTACGAATGTGCTTACAAAAGCACAAGCAAGTTAATCAAATTTTCAGGCAAAAAGCTTATTAGATGTTTTATAACAGATTGGAAAATTTTTCCATTTATTTTTATAATGGTATTAATATTTATTTATCATGTATTTTAACATTTAATAATATAAATTAAAATTATGTTCGAGTGAAAGAGAGATTTCCTTGATCTGGAAAATAATTATTTCTTTTATTCTCAAGATTTTCTTCGTATTCCATGGCCTATTTTAAGCTTTCTTCGGTCTGTTTTCTTCATGAATTTATTTGCTAGACAAGTCGAGGCTTCTAATTCTAATTCCTAACTCCGTTTGTCACGATATTTAAGTGGCGAGTAATTAATTTGTACAACATGCAGCTCCGAGTAAGTAGCAGTTACTTGGCTATAGTAAGTAATCTATTTCTGCTCCATTGGTTAACAGTTATCGATGTAATTGAAAGGAGATCGAGTAACGCTTAACCCGCTCGTTCGATAACACGATGAAATTGATCTGCAATGCATATTGTAGGTATAATGTATTTCTTGCGTCTAAAATTAAATTAGTATTCGTAGCATATAAAATTGGCTGATATTGCGCACAGTGGTCAGAAACAGGCGAGAGAGAATTAACTAGTTCGAAATAAATTAGTTTAGGCTTCGTTTAAAATACGTGATTATATTATTATATTATTATAGATAAATTAATTTTAAATTATTCCAAATTATTTTAAGATTATTTTAAAATATAATATTTGTAAATTATTTTAAATGTTACGGATAAATTAATTTAAACATGTGTTTGAAACAAATGCGCAGTTATTTCGCTATGCCGAAAATTGAGAAGCAATTGAAATTAGTAGAAGCATCCGAAGTAGTAAAGAAGTAAAAGGGAACGATTCACTGACACCGATCATTCGGAGTACGATGGCGTAACGGTAGTAAAACTCTCGAACGTTATGTGCATCGTCACCGTAGGGCTGCCGTTGTAATGTTACGCAGGAACATTACGCGGCATCGAAAAGGATGCACTTATAGGTGCAGTCCGAGAATGACGTCAACCTATTGCCTTTCTATAAATATCGGGTTTCCAAAAGAAGTTCGTTGCCCACGCTTGCAACGCGAACAACAAGCCGCGAGAGTTTAATGACCGTCTTCGCCACCATTTTAGCCTAAACCATATTGAAATCCCCTCGGGGGTATTTGGTATCATCAGTATTATTATTATCATCGTTACGCGCGTTGATACTTCAATCTTTCAGTCTTCGTGGTTCGTTCGTTCGTCACTTAATGTTATTAATTCGTGTATAACCAACTTGTCCGTACGACTAACGTAAAGATTACGTGCTTGTAGGAATTACGAAACATTTGATGTGAGTGTGTATTTTTGGTCGCGATTTCAAAATGCTCTGTACAACAAGTACGTAAGTTTTTCTGTACCAGGCGTTCGAATAGTTTCGTGATCGGCAAGTAAGAGGAACGATCTGTAGGGAAGGAAGACCGATGCAAATATTGAACGTCGTTTGCAAGAGGATAACGTTTGATGACTCATATCGAGTGACAGGCCGGTCTGACACTCGGTGAATAAGTACACCGGGTGAATATCGCGAATTGTCAAAGCCGTGGCATACTTA